TTTGTGAAAGGGTTTTCATGGTCATTTCTCTGTTGTTTCTCAATGTTGGCTAATAGTTTTCCCTTTGAAATTTAACTTGATTTTCCTAGAGATCACCTGTGTCTGGATAAATACATGTCACGCAAAAGATTTTGGGTAGTTTGCGTTCAAGCATTTGAGTCCAGAAGGCTCTCTCCTAAGTCAGTCAATTTGTGGGTAATTGAACAACTTCAAAGTTGCAGCTGACTCTTTGGTGGATTTCTCAAGTCTTCCATGTGTGCGTGTGCCCTTATCTCAGATTATTGTGTTATGGCTTTTTTATCTTCATGATAGCTCACTGATTTCTGACTAGTCTGTCCTAACTGTTCTTGGAGCTTTGGATGTGCTGAGGTTGACAGCCCACATGTGTTCAGAGTTTACTGTTTTTAGCTGGCAAAGCTACTTTTCTTTCTCAATACTCCCTACCCTGAATCAAATCCTAGGACAACAAAGCAGCTGATTAGCTGATTAAAACGTTTTCACCAGCCAAGCTGAGTGGTGAGAAGGGTATATTTTGTTTGGGGGCAACCTAAGGCAAGAAGAGCATAGCTCTCAATTTGTCTGTTATTTGATTGATTTTATGTTTTTATATGCACTAAAATGGTTATTTTATACAGTACTTTTGTATGTGTGTGTGTGTGTGCTGGTGGTGGTGGGAATTGAACCTAGGGTTTCATGTATAATAGACACGAACTATACTACTGAGCTACATTCTTAGCCCTGAAATGGTTATTTTAGACTGTCTTGTTTCTAATTTTTTTTCCTCTACTCCCTCAGAGAGGGATCTCTGAAAGTCACATTCCTATAACCAGAAATGTCTCTTATGTCAAAGTTTTCAACTTTGATAAAAGATTCTATTTCAACTAGCTTTGGAAGAAAATATTTTTATTTCGCAGTGCAGTGCTGGGGATCAAACCTAGGGCTTTGCACAAGCAAAGCTACATTTAATGGCTTATAGCTGAGAATTCAGCTAATAAACTTATTCAAAGTCTCATAACAATTTAATGTGAGGAAACCCTGGGATAGACTAATTAGCTTTGTTTTAAACTTCTCTGATTGTAGCTTAGCTCTTTTCATCGTTATCTTTCTGTTTTTTACTGGAGTGACTGCTAGTTGGTCTTGAAACTTGCTCTTCTCGATTTTATTTTTGTTTCAAACATAGTTTAACTTTTCAGAGTAAGAAATACACTGCTAGTTCAGATGGGAAGTTCAAAAAGGCAGGACACATCTTCATGTCATATCATTTCTTCCAGACACTCAGTACCAGCATGTCAGAGACTGAATCCTAAAACCTCTGTCCAAGTGGGTCTTCCTCAGGAGACTTCCTCAGGAAGCTGGTGCTTCTTCCAGTAATCTCCATGTCCAGCAGCTCATCTAAACTTCTGATTTGACCTTGGACACAGCTGCTTCTTTCCATCTTCATTTGTTCTACTTTAAATTTGCACCTCAGGACTCAGCCTATTCACTTATCTGAGTTTTCTTTTATAGCAAGACATCTGGATCTTGAACTTCCCCTGATCCATATAATACACCCTTCACTACCTGTAATTGAAAAGCAGCTCCTGAGAATGGCTTACAAAGCCCCCACCTGTCTTGGTCCTCACCTCCTAGAGCCTGTCCAGTTCCTCTTAAATGTGCTGTTCTCTCCTTTTGTATACTCTCAGGGCTTGCCTCTTTGAAACCTTGACGCTTCTTTCAGGTAGATTTTCTTACTCTTGATTTTTGTTTTCATAGAACTTAATTCATGTCTCCATCTCTGTTCTATCATTTCTTGTATACTAGCTTTCATTTCTGAGGCGTACACCTCCCCCATACTGTACTGTAGTAAGATGTGTTTTAAGTTTTTCTTTTATGATTTTATTTTGTTTGGTTTTGTTTTTGAGACACAGTCTCCCTCTTAGCCCCAGGTGGCCTGGAACTCGCCATGTAGACCAGGCTGACCTCCATCTCATAGAGATCTGCCTGCCTCTGCCTCCTGAGTGCTGAGACTAACCACCACACCAGCAGGATCTGTTTTGTGTGTGTGTGTGTGTGTGTGTGTGTGTGTGTGTGTGTGTGTCTTTGGCTATATAATCATGAGTGGAGTGCCCATTTAGGCTAGAAGAGGGCATTGGATCCCCTGGAGCTAGAGTTAAAGGTGATTGTGAGCTGTTAATGGGATGCTAAGAACTGAACTCAGGTCCTCTGCAAGAGCTTTAACTGCTCTTACCTGTTGGGCCATCTCTCCAGCTCTCTTAAGTCTTAAATACATGATGGTTGCTTTTCTCTTACCTCCTCTAGATTGTATTTTGTGGGTTCTATACACCTCTGTGTGTGTACTGCAAAATCCACTCTGGGTGCTTGATTGGATGCCTTGTGTCTTTACTGCTTCCTTTCCTGCAAGGTTCTGTACAAATCCTGCCATTTAAAGCTTCTTGTACTTCAACCAGAGCTGTTTCCCTGCCTCTAACATTCAAAGTGTGTATCTGTGAGGACCATTTGGTGCTGTATGGATTTACCGTATGATTTCTGTCATACTGTTCTTTGATGGTCTCTTGCCTTTGTGTCTTACCTCCCTAGTTGGGGAAGGACTTAATAACAGTTATGTGTCCAACATTGCCTAGCAAAGTTTTTTGGTGATCTCGTAAATATTGAGAAATATATTTGACTTAATTTTCTTATTCTTTCATAGCCCAGTTAGCTTCAGAGCCTGAGGAAATATTAAGGGTACAGAATGTGAACTGGTTATGGTGATGTACACCTGTAATCCTAGTCATTGGGAGGTAGGAGGAGGAGGATTAGGAGTTCAAGGCTGGTCTCAGCTGTGTAGCAAGTTCAAGCCAGCCTGGGCTACATGAGACCCTGCCCTGTCTCAAAAAAGAGGATGTAATTAGTGATTGTAACATAATCATGATTTTCTTGTAATGGATTATAATAATCTGATTTCACTCAGAACACAGAAATAGTTACAAGAAGGTAAATAAAAGATCTTTTATGTAAAGGAATATTAACTATGATTAAATATGAGAAGTAAGATACAAGGGAACTACGTGTGTCCTCGAGCTCAAGCAAGTACATACTTGGAAGGTGTTCAGGACTCTTCATAGGTTGAGATTCAGTCATTGACAACAGAAACATTCAGTGATTTGACCAGGCCAGAATTAGTTTGAAATAAAACAACCTTTCGGTGTTGGCAGATAAAGGATAGAAGCTCGTGGCCTGTGGCACACCAAGAAAGTGGTTGTTTGTGGAAGCAGTATGCTCTCAGAATGTGCATGGAAGTCTAGTTATAGAAAGACCAGATTATGATTGCAGTCACAGGGTCTGTGACTGACTGGCATAAAATGCCTTCCTACATGCCAGGAATCAACCCTACAGCTGAAGTGATAGGAACCCCTTCCCCTTCTTCCTCTGCTGCTCCATCACCCTCTGCTGAGAAAGCTTAACCTGATACCTACTTCAAAGGAGGAATGCTTAAAAGAATCTTGTTGATTTCAAATCCTGATGGGTACATTGAGAGGTAAGGAACAATGTAACTGACATGGGTACACAGGGGGAGATGGACACTGGCAGCCTTTCTCTGACATCGTGTCTAGCTCCAGTCAGCTGGGTAGCTTATACTTTCTACTGCTAAGGTCTAGGGTGAACTTTTTTGCTCCACTGACACCATTTTATGTGCTGCTACCATAGCTTTCCATGGCCATCCTTGGGGTAGCTTTGTGCTTTCTTGCCCATTTCATTCTCTGAAAATACTACTTTTTTAGTTTCTCTTAGGCTTAAGCCTCTTGAGTATTTTTTTCTTCTCTATCTGTTCCTTTGGTCTTTCATCTCTATGATTGATTGTTTTGGTGGGAGCAGAGTCCCCCTGTGGCCCCAGACTCATGCTGGCCTGGAACTCACTTTGTAGATCATCCCATGCTAGTCTTAATCGCACAGAGATCCACCTGCCTCTGCCTCCCAAGTGCTGGGATTAAAGGCCTATACCACCATGCCCGTCTACCTCTAATTTTTTTGTAACTGCTTCGTTCCAACTCCCTGCTTCAGTCTTTTTGCAGTTAACATTAAAGAAATGATCTCAGGTTGGCCAAAGGACATTTTCTTACTTTTTAAATTTTCAACATGTTTTCTCCTCCCTCACTTCCTTCCATTGTGTTCTTTTGACATTTCTTTCTAATAAAATCTAGGTGTCATCTGTAGTTAACTGTAAGGTATTAGTAGAGACCTGTTTTTAAATGTAAAGAATGCTTGGAAATTAACTATTAGAATATGCCTCTCAGGACTGAAATAGAACTCTTATTACAGAATTGCTTGTAATAGGACTTGTTCTCAATTTTTCTTGGGATACTCACTCATGTTAAAGATGGCCCTGTGTCATGTGTCTAGATCTGTGTTTCTGACATTTAGATTCAGGTTCTCTGAAGATGCTAACATTTTATTCTTTCTGGTAACATAAATGCATTTGGAAGTTACTACTTTAGAACAGAACTTGTCAGCTTTTTGAACTTTGATTTATTGTAAATTGCCTTTCTAATTCAGACTAGCTGAGAGTTTTTCTTACATATTAGGCCATCTGGAAGATATTTTAACAGTGTACATTTTTCCAAAATGGAAGCTGAGTCATATATAATATATTGTGTATATATATATATACACACACACATACATACAATATATTATATATGCTCATGTATTCAATTGGAGAAACAGATTAAGGTGTTGGGTCTAAGCAAATCGGTCATATGAAAATAGAAATTTGCTGAATACATTTATTCTTTAAGGCTCCAATTTGTTATTAACCAATTCAAGACAGAGTAAAAAACAGTATTTTGTTCCTTTTTAGTATGTTCTTTTTACTGAAAACTAACTCCAAAAAGTCCATTTATTCTTTTATTCGGTGGTATAAAAGCATATATTAAGTCCTTTTGTAGGACAAGGTAGCTAAACATTGAACTATTTTAATAAACATTTTGTGATAAGGTTTGCCGTTCTTTTTTTTTTTTTAGGTAAAATCCGTGAAAACGGGGTCAGTGTTTTGGACAATGTGCTGCTGCCTGTCATATTTCTACATGGTAAGATTCATGTTTGAAGCTGTGTATTATGAACTCTAATAGGTCGTCAGGCAGTTAGAATAATTCCTTTTCTTCTCATCCAGGACTGATTTTCCACTTCCTCTCTCTGCAGGTGTGTAGGACTTTGATTTTGTGTAATGTGTTCTGTCATCACTGTCACCTTCATTTTTCCCTACCTCAGGTCCCAAATAGACAGGCTTTGCGAAGACAAGCTGATACTGGATCCCTCAAATACAGTATAAAGATTTTAACTTCTTAAAGACATTTAGAAATAAGTTTAGGTATATATTTTTATTACACCTTGGTTTTTTTTGTTTTTCCCAGTTGTATGGAAAAATAAAATGTGTTCCACATTAGTCTACAAACTAAAAAGTAGAAAATTTTGCCTGTCGAATATTGAGCATATTGGAATTGACTAAGTTACTGTTTAATGCTAAAATAGTCATGAGCTGGAAATGTGCATTATCTCTACTCATTACTAAGTTGATGAGGACAGAGAAATAAGCACTTAGAAGACTTTATTAAAAAAAAAATCTCAAGGAAAGATTAGCTGAAAGAAAATATTGTAGAAAGAATGTTCTTTTGGCCCGTTATGTTCTTTTCAGTCCTTAAAGTAATGAAAAGAATTAAAAAACAAAACACGTAAAGATGCATGTGTATGGGCCAGAGGATGAGGAAATAGAAGCTGATAGTGAAAGGTCGTACATGAGATCATCCAGGGCTCCTCACAACTTCACATTCACATTGTTTTAGGTTTTCTGTTTGTAAGTGAACAAAACAGACAGGTAGCATATTGTGTTGCTCTGTTTTCAGAATCCTCGGAACTCCTTTCACCTGAGTACTGCTAATATGTACTGTTTAACCTGTGAGCCACCTCATAATTTTTAAACACATTTCTTTAAGATTGGGGTTTGGTATTATTTCTTTTTAATTCTGCCTATTTTTCACCCAATAGCCTATGTAGTAGTGCTGAAAATTAATGCTAGTTTAATTTTTTAAACTACTTTCATAGAATAAATATGGGCAGCAAAGTTAACTGTGGCCTTTCTGAAATGATTATTGCCCAGGGTACGTGTTGCACAATTGTACTTAGTAAAACAAACCAGTTCTCTTTTGGGGAATATCCAGGGATCTCTTAGGGCTGATGCTTAATCAAGGAATCATGGTTTATTTTTGTTTGTTGTTGTTTTTTGGTGAAAAAAATAGCATGTGATCACATAGTGACCAGGTATTTTTATATGTCCTTAGAAGTTACTCTGAAATATTTAAAACAAAGATAACATTGTTCAAAATATGTACATTAGCACACATCCTTATAAGGTAACTGATAGCAGTGATTCTTTGAAGCTTTTAATTAAAGGAAACACATGAATAAATCAAATACTAAAATATAGTCTTTATAATCCATCTCAAGGGTGCACACAACCAGCACTGTTATGAATCAAAGTGTAGTCAGATGATGTAAGTATTCCTTTTAGTGGAGTTGCTGACAAGTGCCCACATTCATTGTTCTTACTCCTAGTGAGCTTTCTTGCAGTAAATAGATGATCCTAAGTATAAGAGCTTATTGGGTTTTTTTTAAAGCTACAAATTTATGATCTGTATTCTAGAACTTTCCATGATAGCCTATATTCTGCTAATTCACAAATTTATAATGTTCTCAACTTTCCTGTTAAATTTTACTTATCAATAAAAAAATAAATAGGTTACATATTTATGTTACCTCAAAAAATTGCTAAAAATAACTAGTGTTTTATATTTGCTCATTGTATGTTTACAGTGTCATGACAAATGAAGCATGCCTATTTTAGAAAGTGACAAATAGAAATCTTGTGTGACCATCTCTTTTCTCATAGGTCTCTGCTTGGGGCGGGTATGTGTTTATCATCAACCTTATCCCGCTGCATGTGTTTGTGCTGCTACTAATGCAGAGGTACAGCAAAAGAGTCTACATAGGTGAGTGATTCCACTTTAATAATTTTAATGTTTGCCTTTTGTATTGATAAGGAGGGCCAAGCATTTTTATATTAAGTGCTATATTATCAACTTTAACTTGAATGTTTGTTTCATTTTTGGAAGAATTAGTCTGGATTTAATATTTGTTATTACTTTTGTATATGTTGGGAAATGGACATTTTTATCAAGAAAGTTACTCATTTTTATTTTCACATAACACTCAGATGTAGCTTACTATGTATGGGAGATATCTTCAAATAAATAATTTAAAAATTTTTATTGATTTTTTTTTGTATGTATTTCATACAGAAAATCATTTCTATACCCCCTTCCCCTTTGGTACCCGCCCATAGCCTCCCCACTGGAGTTCATACCTTCTGTCATTTGTGTTAAGGCCTATCATGTAAAGTTAGTGTCCCGAGAAGTCCTTCAGCGCAAGTTCATCCACTGGGATCTAGTCAGCCTGTCTAGAGTCCCTCCCTTTAAGATCAGCTCATTCTTGCCCAGCAGTAATCAGCTACCAGTAATTATTCGAATAAGATTGGAGCCTGTTGTTCATTTCCACAGTTCTGTGCTGGGTTTTTGTCTGCTGAAGTTTGCATGGGTCTTGTGAATGCTGTAGGTTTGTATGAGAAGAGTCCCAGGAGTCTGTAGGACTATTTCCATATGGTCATGCACCTCCTTCAGTCTTTCTGCCCCCTCTTCCACAATGGTCTCTGAGCCCTGGGTGAGTGGATTTTAATTTAGGATTACTATCCAGGGGCCCACACTCTGTAGACTCCTATTCTCTGCAGTTTGACCATTTGTGAGCTTTTGCGTTCTTGGCCCTCTGTTGCATGACAGAGCTTCATTGATGAGAATTGAAAGATGAGTTAGTATTCTCTTCATCCCTTGTTCTATTCAAATAAATAATTTAATAAACTTTGAAATTTTTTTTGTATGATATACAAATAGATTGAGTCTGCTCTCTAGAAAATCTTTATTTTCGCTACATGCTTTAAGTCTTTAAGAGGCTTAGTGGTAAAGGACATATTGAGAGCTTATTTTGCACCAAAGGAATAGAATTGTGGGTTGAAAGAATCACAGCAACTGAGATGAAACCAATGTCTTCTCTTTAATTACATTTATTTTTTTGTGTGTACATGTATGTGTGCCATGGCACGTGTGTCCTAGGGATGAAACTCAGGCCATCGGGCTTGGCAACAAGCACCTTTACTGGTTAAGCCATCTTACTGGCCCTGAAACCAATGTCTGAATAATATAAGTCTATATCAATAATGTTGGAACAAAGCACAAAGATAAGACTTTACTTACTAGGTTCACATTCTAAAGAAAAATAGCTTGGCATATCCTCAAAAAATTAATACTAGAGTTCTGCTATAATCTAGCTGTTTCACTCTTTGACTCAAGAGAAAATAAAATGTATAATCACACAAAGACTTCCACAGGAATGTTCATGGCAGCAACATTATTCATAATATCCAAAAAGTAAAGACACAAATATCTACTGATCAGTAAGAATATTAAATATGACCTACCCATATAATGGAATATATTGAACCATAAAAATAACTGAAATACTGATCTATGTTGCCTTCTGAACCTTGGAAACTTTACACTGGACTTTAAGAAAATCAGGCACAAAAGACAATATATTAGGATTCTATTTGTAAAAGTGTCCAGAAAAGCAAATCCACAGAGACAAAAAATAGTTTAATGGTTGTCAAATGCTTGGGGAACGGGAGAACAGTGGTGGGGATGGGGAGGAGTCACTGCTAGTGGATAATGGGGGTTTCCTTTTGGGGCCAGAAGGTGATCTGTCAGACAGTGGTTGATGGTTACACAGATATGAATATTCTAAAAGCTACACACAGCAGATTTTTAGGGGATGAATTTACAGTATGTGAATTTTATCTGAATCAAAGTAAAAGCTAAACAAAAACTTTATAGTACATTAATGACAGCCATTTTAGCATACTTATGTAATAGTCAATAGTGAAAGAGTAGTCTGAATTAGAGTGTGTGTGCCATAAATTTCTCGAATCTTTGCTTATGTTTAACTCAGTCACTCTTCATAATGTCTCTGTGAGAATAGGTACTGTTACTGTACTCATTTCACAGGCGAGGTCCAAGAGCTGAGGTTTGAACTAAGATATTTTGGGTTCCAAACTCTTGCTGATAAAACCACTATAGCTCTATGCCTCCTCTGTAATAGTACTCTTTATACTCGTCAACTCCAAAAATGATAACGAGTGTCCAGAAAGAATAATGAAGATTAAACACCTGTAATCCTCAGGTAGGAAAAAATATGAAAAAAAAGTTGTTTTTTTATCAAAGTTCAGTGGTGATAAGGAATTTTTTTTTTTTTAATTAACGCAAGAAAAGCATGCACTTTGGCCATTAAAACTATTTCTTCTTTGCAGAGGAAAGAAAAACTAAAATGGGTTAGGGAATATATGTGTTTATTAAACTAGATTGGTGAGTGTCTCAGGAAATTGTAATGGTTTCACTCTCTCCACTGCTTTTTCCTTTCTTATTCTACCCACATAACTGTCTGACAGAGCTTTGCTGATTTTGATCCTTTCATGGGAATTCTTCTTAATGAATGGAAGTAGTGGCATAGAGGAAGTGTGCATTTTTCCTTCATCCAGAGTGGATCAGGATTTAAGTGTGATTTCTCTTAACTTAATGATCCTTAAAAAAAAAAAAAAAGAATCCAGGGAGTGGAGAGATGGCACAGCAGTTAAGAGCACTGACTGCTCTTGCAGAGGATCCAGGTTCAAATCCAGCACCCACATGGGGGCTGACAACTGTTCGTAACTCCAGTTTCAAGGGCTCCAACTACCTCTTCTGTCCTGTGTGGGCACTGCACAACACAGGTACACTTGCATACATGCAGGTGTAATACACATAAACAAAAAAATTTTAAATGAATCGTGATAAAGTGTTTGTATGATGTTGCCTTTGATTTGGTTTATAACACCCTTTGCCTGTGGTTTTCCTTTCTGTTAAGCAAAAACATATCTAAGTCCTTTAAGGATTTGGTAAACTGGAAATTGAGTCATATTAGCCCAAATTCTGATTGTGTTCTAAGTACCAAAGTAATTTTTTATGAATTGTGTGAAATAATTATGAATAACTTGTTTCCCTCTTGAACAAGTCTTTTACATGTCTTAGATCAATCAGCCCAGTTATAGAAAACTGTCAGCTGACATATTTAAAAGGAGACTCATGTGTCATATGTCTGGGGATAGGGGAAGAGCAGAACTGTCAGCCCACATGTTTAAAAGGAGACTCATGTGTCATGTGTCTGGGGTTAGGGGGAGAGCATCATGAAATTGGGGGGAAGGGATAAGAAAAGCTGGCTGAGTGATGCACACTGTGTGACCACAGCACTTGAGAGGCAGAGGCAGGCAGATCACCAGTTCAAGGCCAGCCTGCTATATAGGGAGACTGTCTCACAAGACAAAGCTGATGTTGGAAACTAGTTTCTACTTGAGGAAGTTTGAGAGGAAAATGTGTGTGTGTGTGTGTGTGTGTGTGTGTGTGTGTGTGTGTGTGTGTGTGTGTGTAGATATTGTAGACTCGTTGGATTTCATTGTATTGGGAAATTAAGAAAATTAAAGATTCTAATGTTTTAACTAGAATATCCAAACCTTAATTTGTGTTTATAGGAAGACTGGTTGCAGATGGTGGAATGTTTCAGCTTTTCTAATTTGATGAATATTTATTGGACTTGTTGTCAGAGGAAGTTAATACAGATAAGGAATGCTGTCTGTGATGTAACTGCTGGCTCAAGTGTCCATTGGGAAGATGGTTACTTAATTACATGCCTTTTTGTCGTTTGAGATATTATATAGACATTAAATTTAATCTTTTGAGTATTTGATGGTACAGGAATATGTTAGTAAAAAGCAAATAGCAAGGATTACCATTGTTTTTTGGCTTTTTTGTTTTGTACTTTCCTGCTTCCTGAAGTTTTTATAGTGAGTTTATGTATTTAACTCATAATAAATGAGACTTAATTTGTAGCTTATAGCAATAAGAATTTTACCTCTATGGTTCATAAAAAATTTTATTAAAAATATATTTTATTTATTATTTTTGTTTTATGTGTATGAGTGTATTGCCTGCATGTAGATAAGTGCACATGTGTCATGCAATGTCCGTGGAGAGCAGAAGAGGCCGTCGGATCCCCTGGAACTGGAGTTACGGACAGCTGTTAGCTGCCAAGTGGGTGCTGGGATTCGAACCCAAGTGGGTGCTGGGATTTTTGCAAGAACAGCCAGTGTTCTTAGCTGCTGAGCCCTCTCTCCAGCTCGGTTCATAAAATTTATATTAACTGCTTTGTTAATTTAAGCAAAGGGAATAAATTAGTTTTGAATATAGATAAATGATTTTGAAATGTCACTGAGGTAGCTTGTTTATGGTATTGTCTAGGTATTCTGTAATGAGTCAGTCTGAGTAAGATGATTAACAGCCATGTTTCTGACAGGTAGAGTGTACTTTTACTTTGATACTGTCATTAAATACCACGTACTTTAGTTTTGTACAAATTATGACAAGTATATCCCTTGTGAATAAGAAAAGATAATCCTGTTGAGTAAATTAGTAATGGAAAAGTCATAATTGTTGAGACATGTTTATGGACTAGAAACAGCTCGGTGGTAGGGTATTTGCCTAGCATTCACAAGGTCTTGGGTTTGATCTCCAACATTGGGGTGAGGGGAGAGGTTTATATTACCTGATAGCTATAAACAGAACGTTTTAAATTCAGGATTAACTTAGAAAAAGTAGACTTTAAAAGATTACTGCTAGGCCAGGCATGGTGGTGCACACCTTTAGTCCCAGCACTCAGGAGGCAGAAGCAGGCAGATCTCTGAGTTCAAGGCTGGCCTGGTCTACGTAGTGAGTTCCAGGACAGCTGGGGCTACAGGGAGACCCTGTCTCAAAGAAGAC